ACTCTTTCTCCAAAAAAGCTTTGTCCAGGGGAAAGCGGCACATAGCAAAAACCAACCGAATGCACCTTCTGCCTCAGATTCCAAGGACAGGTCTTCTGAAGGAGGATTTAAGGTCTCCATCCCTACAAAGGTCTATAAAGAACAAGTGGCAAGGCTGATCTCAGAGATGACCCAAGCTAAATCTTAGCTCTCTTCTGTTACACTAGAATATGAACTTAAGGCAAAAATAGCATTTTTACGTTATTCCAAGACATAGATCATTTATACCGAGAGGACATGACATATTCCTGAGCCTGTGTTAGCACTACTAAGATGCACCTAATTTCTACCTCTTAATGTGGAACTTCTGACCTCCTCAACCCATCTCCTTTGCAGAGAAAGATGCGATTAGGAGCAGTGCAGGCTGGCAACATCGGTTTGATGTTGTAAGATGGAGACTGATCCACCGAGTGCACCAAACCCAGCAACTTTACATTGCAGGGGCAAACGGTGGTTAAGCACCCGAAACTTCCTCCTAACCAGATCTACAGTGACTTGCGTCGCTCTGCCAGAGGCTCCCTCCTTTATGCATTCCACATTCTTCCTTTGTGCATTTGTGATTCCTGCACTTGTCCACCGGGCCTGACAAAAGTGGGGATTAATCTACAATGGAGCTTTAACTCCAGATAAAAAGAAAGATGGAATTTTTAACAGCTCTAAAAAGTGTGATATCAAATTACCAGTATGCTCATACCAGACATGTCTGAACATTTTTGGGAGTCCACCATCAAAGCATCGAATACTTCAAAGTCAGTTTTCTTCACCTGTATGATGTTGTTGACGGTACCTAGCTGGCTGGTTACTACTGGCTGAGAAGAAACAAGATACAAAAGTCAGAATAAAAAAGCTTGCAGGACTATTAGATTCTCAAAACTATACAATCAGCATTACCAAGAATGATATATATTGCTTTTAAAATATGCCTGTACCAGATATGAAAAGAGCTCATCATTGCTCAGTTAGTGTTGGGTTAAGGGCAAGCGTAGGATTTAGGACTCAGGAGTACATGTGTCAGCTGAACCCGCTAGGTCTACAGCACTTGATAAATTCTTGGGCTATAGATAAGGCTAGGATCAGGTTTAGGCTAAAGTTAAAAGTGAGGACACAAGGAGCTAAGCTTTACTTTTAGCTTCTGCAGGTCTTTCAGAGCCAGGCTAAGATCTGCATGGCCTGATGTAGGACAGAGTGTGGTTGGTATTGCTGTTTTACTACTAAAACTAAGACTAGCATCTAGGGCAGAGGGTTCCAAGAGCTAAATTTACTGCAATGTAAATTCTGCGAGGTTCTGTGAGGTTGCCAAGACAGAAAAAAGACTGAAACCAGCAACTGTGAATGACGAGTTCTGAAGCAGCTAAGGACTGCTGGGCAGACTAGGGTTAAAGCTCATTCTATAGCAGAAGAGAAGGGGAAGGCCTGGTAGATTTTGGCACAGTTACTGATCTATGAAAATATCTAAAGCGGCAACAGCAACATTTTGGCACAGATAGCAAGTAAGCACAGAGAGATTTGGGCTGCCAGCAATGCTACAGTGCTTTAAAAGACAGTTTGGGAATAGACAAGAAAAGCTTACCATCGCTTATAAACCAATACCCAAGAAATCTTGTCACCCATTTGTTACAACATCTCCTGTCCTTTGAGGCTGTCAGTCTGATGCCACCATCTAGACCAGCTGGGATCAGAAATCTCTCTCTCACCAGCTTGAAAAGTTAGTTTCCTTCTCTCTGAAAAGGCCAGCTATCGGTAGAGAAACCACCCAGTTTCTCATCTTCAGATGCCTCAATGAATACATACAGCAAGTCAAAGAAAACGTTACCTCTGAAGGATCGTGTGTCCACTGCCCATCCACAAAGAACTTGTATTGGTGCTCGCCTTCTGGCAGGTCCAGGATTGCCACAAAGTTATTGTGACTGGAATTTAAGACAAACAATCAGCCCTCAATATTCTGAAAACTATGTCAACCTATAAGCCATGACAAACACTGTAACACAGAATACAGGCCTCATTTAAGTGCCACATTTAAGAGAATCTCATGCAATCTAAAGATAAAGAATCAAACGAAAGTTAATGTTAACGATCATTTCCTCTGTGACAGTAAGCCCCAACACGTCTCGTACCACATTCCTGGCATCAAGGAATTGGCACTGAGCTTTTGCAAAGTCATCCTCACATCTTCATGTTACTTGTTAGTACGCGAGACCTCATTTTATCTGCAAGACTCCTGTTGATGGAACAAGATCAGCTTACTGATATTTCCTTGCCTTTCAGAATTTGCCATCTTGAATTGCATTTCACAAACACCTATGAAATAAATGAACAATGACTAGAAGATGAAGGCAGCAACTCAATACTTCTGAGTTACTTTGAGTCCGAATAGCTGCTGCTGCTTGGTAATTTTGATAGTCCTGTGCTGTGAACTTCCTGATTCTTCAGAAGTCTTTACCAGCATCTCAAAGAAAGAAGCTGAGAAACAGTTGATGCGATGTGAACAATTCAAACAGCCCACACGATACCAGTATCTTTCTTTACTTCTTCTCAGGTAAGGAGTGCAAGCATACCACCACAGAGCTGGACTTGAAATTTCAGTTTGGAGTAATGAACTCTTTCACTTGAGTGTATTTGAGGTCCAAATATCTCCTCTCCCAGGCTACCTAATCTTGTGAGAGACAAACCTATCTTTTCTTTTTTTTTTTTTTTTTTGGTATGGAGACATTTTTGTCCTTCTTCCAGAGTCATTTCACTATTTCCCATCTCCCAGGCTTTCCGCTTAGAGCATAACAGTAATACTGATGTTCTACTGACATTTTTTCCAGCTCCTGTGTCTTGATAATTTATTTCACATTGTCCATGCACAGAACAATCCTCCCATACCATTTCCTCAGGCCACTATACTCCTCTCTCAAGTTGCCTGAAAAACTAAGACATGTCTGCAACAATGACAATGCAGGTAACCACTCACTGAGATGAGAAACACCAGAAATTGGCAGGAGACCAATCTTTCATGGATATGTCATCATAGACAGACAACAGGGCTCAGATCAACAGTTAAATTCAGAATCTCCACCATCTATTAAGTTTTAAGTTTTTGAAAAAACATTGGTTTAAATGAAGTACTTACTCAGGCACAGAATTAAGCAGAGCTTCAGAGCTCTCTGTCAGGAAAAAGCACTTGGTACCTTAACACAGATTTATTCTCTCATTTGTGTAGTTTACCAGCAGGTAACCCAGGCTTAGAGTTTCCTAAGCAGAATTTAGACCCTTTGAGGTGGGCAAAAGCCAATGACATGGCAAGAAAGTATATCTGCCATCAGAGACACTATGCTAAAAACCAACTTAATCTTACACACGCCAGCTTTCTCCCAGGCAGCAGACTGCACAAGGATTGTTTTGGGTCATTCGTGCATGGTGCTTAGTGAACAAATCACTCCTTCAAAACTGACACACAGCTCAACTTTCATCCTGTGCCATTCACGAATCAAAAAGTCAGATTCTCATCAAGCGCTTTACGAGAGAAGCAGGGAAGTGGTAAATCCAAGCACAGTACCAATCTATCAACTGACCACCTTCCTCACTGCACTAGGCCTTCCCAGTCCATAGGGAACATCGCCACCGATACAGCAGCAGCAGTTTATTACCTCCTTGTCAGAGGAATTTTGCTCCAGTTGTTGAAGGACCCAGATAAATAAACTTCTTTCCCTCCTCCGGTCCAGCGAAAGACTGTTGGTCGAGCTTGAGTGGGAGTTTTATCATTCACTTCCAGATCTTGTTGCCAAGCCAGGAATTCTTCTTTCTCCAATGGAGCCTACAATCACAATGTCTTAATCAATGGGAATTCTTTCCCGGCAAACGTAGACAACTTGTATTTTACCAAAGGTGTTTTTGCACTCAGGCACGACTCTCTAAGGTACAAGTCTACAAGTAGCTTTTGTGAGATGAAGGTTAGAAACTGGGCATTTCTAGATGCTGTCCACAAATTCATTTGCACTAATTCTGCAAAGATGTTAAAGCCTTCCAAATCTGCAGAAAGAGTGGTAGGCAAAATAATCCCCCTCCATCCAGCCTAAATTAGGTTAAAAAGAAACAAGTAGAGCTCAGAAGAGTTTTCAAAATACACAGATATAAGAAGAGGGAGAAAAGTAATTAAGAAGAAATAGGTTATATAAATACAAACACTGTAGTTGGCAGAAAGATTGTGAGGTGTCTGTAGGAAACAGATCTGTCCAACAGTCAAAATCTAAGTGTAATTGTCTGTTAGATATTCTTATGAAACACGATACACGGCAAGATGTTTCTAACAATCCATCTAATACTACGCAAAAATCCAGTTAACAGATCTTTTAATACGGAAAATAACAGACAGATAAAACACCACCAGTGACTACAGGAGCATTACGGATCTGAAGGAAGCTGGGGCACTGTACCTAAAGCTGGGGACAACCTTTGAGATAGTTATGTTTTAGTTTTTCTACAATTATTTCTTACTAGAAACCATTATATTACGCTCATTGTCTCTGCTTGAACATTGGTGCAGTATCTCTCCTTAGCGTGGGAAGCAAGGGTCAGTTTTGTGTGTAAACTCAATGACAGGATTACTGAAGGGCGCTAACAACACCGCAACTGGATGGCATTCCCAAGACAGTAATGTCAGAGGGCAAGAACAAACCAGCAATACCTTCATTTCCTCTGAATGGAACAAGTCTGCATCTTCAGGACTGTCCATTAAAATTTTTGGTCTATCACCCTCTTTCGTACTGATGGCTCCCCCTGAGTTGTCACCTCGGGATGCCTTGTGCCCATGGCGCTCCAGTCCAGCTCGCTCGCTGCTTGTGTTCCCCATTTTTAAGGACCTAGAAGAGCAGGAAAAGACAGATTAGCGCGTGTACTTTTGAAGCCAGGACACCAGTAAGCTGGAAAGCAGGATCATCAGTAGACTTAGGCTCTGTTTCTGAGTTGAAGAGTCTAAGAAATTTGATTAACCCAAAACACTAGCATTTTAAAATTGTATCACGCTCAGAATAAAGACACTAAATGACAATTTTAGCTACCCTTAAAAATGCGCTACAGTTTGATATCCTAGCATCTCTGCAGGATTCAGCCACTCTAGAAGTTGACCAAGCAGGTGTCTGTCACTGCAGCACACGGGCATTCTATCCTCCCAAGCCAAGCACCTGTTCTTCCATCTTCTACACACCCATGTGTACAACGTTCTACTGTCTCAGTCGAAGCATCGGTAGAACTTTCTGTCAGAATGCTTCAAAGCCAGCCTATTAGAAATGCAACTTCACTAAAACGTAAAGTTATCTCAGGTAGCAACCTGCTGAGGATCCGAGTAGAGCCTGGCTGTGGCTCTAAAGCACAAACAGCACAGTCCCGCTGATGCTCCACTGGAGGCTTCCTCTGGTCCTCGCTTTTCTCCAGGAGAGGCAGGGGCCTGCTGTGCAAGAAACGCAACGCTTCCTCCTGCTCCCCAGCCCTGGAGGCCACATCCACAGGCAGAAGGGATGAGACCAGACACGCATGCCGCGTCTTATCAGAGAGACTACTTACAGGCGAAAGGCAGCCACTTAGAGGCGGCCAGGGAGGCCGTGTGGAACCGCACACACAGGCCCTTGCAGAGCGCCCTGCAGGGTACCGGCACACGCATGGGGTATTGCCCCGTGTCCTCTAAGTCCAAGTTACAGACGTTGCCCAACTTTCAACTGTAGAGATCTTGGCTCAGTCACAACCTGAAACCAGTCTCAGCATTCATCACTTAAGGAAATAAACAGCTAAAGGAATAAATAATTTAACTGGCATGATAAAAAAATAGGGATATGTGCAAACGTTAACTGGCTACAGTGAAAGTGCAACAGCTTTGAGCGTTTCTGCATCTTCTTAAACAGCGACTCGCCGGTTCTGCGAGACAGACTGCCGAAAAGGCCCAGCGAAGCCG